TGCAGCTTTCACTGACTGGGTGCCAGAATTTCTTTGACCATGAGCTTGATGTGCTGATCCAAAACCTTCCTTCAGAGTTACGCGTTTTGCGATTGGATCTGGGCTTCTCGGGCCTTGAGACTCTTGACATGTTTACATCTTCGGTGCAGTGTTTGAAGTCTTTGGTCCAGTTGAATTTGCGCTTCACAGGTTCCGCACACTTCAGGACTGCGGCAGGGCTTGGAGTTGCCATGAGAGAAATGGAGAACATCATGTACTTGGAGCTATGGTGCGCTGAGTTGTGAATTTCCAGTCGCATTTTTCTTTATGTTGAACCCGAAGCATGATGTTCATCCTTTGTGTCAATTGTTTGGCAATTTTCCAGCATTGTGCCCCAATCTTTTTTGTGTTTTTCAGGTTTTTTCATAAATGATCTTGTTTTCTTTTCGCGTTTTTTTCGTGGAAAAGATCGTGTTTTCGTTATATCCTCCAGCTGCTGTGGTCATCTCGCTGCAGGTTCATGAACTTGCCATGTTTGGAAGAATTCGGATGCTTCAGTTCAGCTTTGCAGTCTTTGCGAAACCTGGAGAGTTTGGTCATAAATCTCAGTGGATGTGGCCAGATGTCACTAGAAGCCAGGATGGAACTCCACCAATCCGTCAAGTCGCTGAAATGGTTTCGAGGCAGCTTGGACACTTGGGTGAACATTGAAGGTTTGCCAAAGCGAAGCTGCTTCCCTCGATTTGCTCATATTGATTTTGGCGGTGTTATCAAAGCGCGTTGCACCCGGGGCTTCCGTTTCATCTGGCAACGGATGCGACAACTCAGTGCCGGCCAGCTGCCACATGTCAGCTCAGTGTACTTTGAGCCAACCAGGTTTGGCAGGTCCAGTGCCACAAGCAGTGACGAATCAGCTGGAGAAGATGCGGAGACAGAGCCTCACAGCACTCAACAGGAGATGTTGAATGCAAACAAACCGTTCCCGTGCAGCCATCCTTCATGTCATTCTTTTCATTCTTCTGAGAGCGGCTATTGCGAAAAGCACCGCTGGTCGGGCCTTTTCAAGAAGATTTGTGTTGTAGGAAATGCTTGGCGCCAGAATGTGGAGCTTAGTGTGCTGATTCTCGCACAAGCGGTGGCAGAGGTAGAGAGCCGATTTTTGTTGGTTCTGCTGGTTCTCAGCCTGTTGCCCGTTGCAAGTTATAGCTTTTCTGAGTCGACAGGAGTTTCTGGCACGCTGATTTTTTTGATTGGTATCTCAACTGCAATTGTCAGCATTTTTTACACCACAGCTCGGCTCAACCAAATGCAAGCACTCTCAAAGAAGCTTGAGGTTGAAGCAGAAGCTTTGTATGCAAAGCATTTGCAGAATGACATGTCCAGGCTTTTCGGTGATTGGGGTAGAGCCGATATTGCCCAGCCTCACATCACAAGCCTGACGGAACACTTTGTCGAAGCCAGGAAACATCTTGACGACTTCGACAAGAATCTGTGCCTTCCACTGCGAGAGTTCTTGGAGGAGCAGCCTGGTTCCATATCTCGGCAAGATTTACGACCTGTGTTGATGACACTGTCAATGGCGCAAGAGGCTGTCGTGCGAGAAGGTGAACCCAGCCGAATCTTGGATCTCTTGTATTGCGATGTACTCTTTGATGATTGGGAGAAAATGCTCAGTGCGTGGTGCTTTCTGCAAACCAGAGCAGAATATGATGAGTTGAGAGAAATCGAGATTGTGCGTACCCGCGATTCTTTTGCTTCAGCCCAAGCTGGTGTCAGATGTGCCGAGATGGTGGTCAAGATCGACCACTATTTAGCGACGATCCGTTTCCGTGAAACTTCTTTGACAAAGCTGGAAAGTCAAGTGGATGGTGTGCACCATTTGGCAGAACAGGTGGGACTTGTGGCGGGCAGTTTGCAGGTAGATCCTTTGCTTATGTCTGGGCGACCAGCACAGCAATCACGATTGGTAGTCGCTGTTGTTGCTTTGCTTCGGATCAGCTCATTATTTGCAGCAACGTACCTTGGGGGGCAATACTTTGTGCGGTACAGTCCACCTTTCATCCGTTCCAAGCTTCCAAAACTGATTCGAGATGCTTTTGCTCTCAAGCAGACAGTTGAGTCCAGTGATGGGAGATTGCCGGAGGTTACCACTTCTGATTCTGGAGGATGGTTGGAGGAGAGCCTTTCGCAGCTGTTGCCTTCCATTGTTTTCTCTTTGCCATACCTGGCCTTGATCATCGTCCTCCTGAGCGACTTGCGCCGGTGTTGGTCAGCCAATATGAAGTTGAGGCCGCTGAAACCCACCCAGTTCCTCTACGAGGAGTATTTTGGCATTGAAGGCAAGCTCTACGGCTTCAAAGTTGCAATGCTGCAGTTATTCACAGTGATGCTGCAGGCCTTTGGAAAGCTCCAAATTATGGGTGGCCTTGTGTCATTTGCATTCAATTCAGCTCCGAAGCATTCAGATGCATTCGAACGATGTTTTTGGGCTTTTGTGGGTTTCCTATGTCTGAACAGCATCTATCCAACCATTCTGTTGGCCGTCCCCTCTGTGAAGTGGGTGCGGCGTGGTGCTGCGATGATGGATGCAGTTCTTGATATTGCTTACACCAGCACATACCTCATCATCACCTTGCTGGCCATCTACGAACTGCAGCTGGACCAAGCCATTTCAGGAAATTTTGGGGATGAGGATTCAGTGAACTTCCAAGCAGAATTGGACCCAGCATTTGCATTCCCAGCCGACATTTTTGGTTTCTTTGCTGTCTACTATTCACTTGCACATGTTTGCACTGTTTGCCGTGCCTTAGAGCGAAGCGATCGATCGACCTACTGGAAGAAGTTGCAAAGGTTACCGAGCTCTGCTTCCCGGTCACTGCTGAGCCCATCCAGATTTTACTTCTCAAAGAGATACCGGATTTGTTGCAAAGCGTTGCATTTTTGCTGCATTGGTTTCGTTTTATGTGGTTTCTGCAATTTTCAATCCATCGTGGTTTCGCAACCTGTTGGACCTGTTGACACAATTTGTCATGTGAGTATCTCGAAGCCCCTCAACATATTTGTACAGAGGAGGCGTCTTGTTGTTCTCAGCTTTACTGTACTTGCTGCACCCTTTTGTGCGTCCTCAAGCATACTAATACAATCCGATACACCACTTCTTAAGGTGTTGTTCCCCAGCATCAACAGCCAAGGGGGTTCCACGGGCTTTTGAAAGGTTTTTCAGCACGTTTCAGGGTTCCCACTTAGTTTCACAGGTCCAGGATTCCGAGGTTCATTCCAAGTATTCCAGGGTTTCCAGGGTTACAGGATTCCACAGTTGCAAGTTGCCGTCGGATGGCCAGGAGTCACACCACAGGCATTTGCGAAGTAAAAAAATGGATACCTATGATCTGATACCTATGTCTTCAATATCAATCCCCCTGAGATTGGGTTTCTGTTTCATGGCGTGAGTTTGTGTGCCGGAATCGCCACCCCTTTCATACCGTTGGGCTTTGATGGATGAACTCGAGTTCTTTGTTTCTCCTTGAAACCACTGCTGAGGTATTCGCCCTGTTTGCTTGTCACGATCATTGCTCTATTGCTTTCAACGCACTTCTACCCGATTCACAAGGATGATTTCGGATGCTTTCCGTGTCGCTGTCTGCAAAAAGAAGATGGCGCAAAACACCTTGCAAGTTGCAGCCTTATAGGCATTCTTCGCCTCAAAGATGTGAGCTTGAGTGAGCAGGACATCACAAGTGTTGTAGAGGATGCCTTCACTTCTTCACGGAGTTTGCAACGGTTATCGCTCTCTGGCAATCGGTTGGCATTTTTACCTGAGAAGGTGTTCGCTCCTTTGGACAGCTTGCAATTGCTGGACCTGGGCCGCTTGAGTTTGAAACATGTGGAGCCAGACACGTTCAGCGGCTTGTCAAACTTGAGAATCTTGTCCCTCAGCCAAAATCATTTGAAGGTGCTGCCAGAAGATTTGCTGCGCCCCATGCCAGCTCTGGAGCAATTGTTGCTGGGGGGTAAGTGGAACATCGTTGAGGGCAACCAACTGAGTGCACTTCCGCAAGAGCTTTTGCAGCACAGCCCGCGGCTACAAGTTCTCGATCTGAGCGAAAACAAGTTGACCTCGCTGCCACATAACGTCCTTGATAAAATTCCTTTGTTGGAGACCCTCGACCTTGGTTCAAACAAGCTGACTGAATTGCCAGGCAAAATCTTTTCAGGGCTCAACAAACTCCAGAAGCTGGACCTGAGTCGGAACACTCTCAGTGAGCTACCTGCTGAAGTCTTCTCAGGTCTCAGCAGCTTGCAGAAGCTCAACCTGGGGTACAACTCGCTCACTCGGTTGCATGCGGGAGTCTTTTCAGGACTCAGCAACTTGCAGGAGCTTGAATTGTGGGAAAACGAGCTTAATGAGTTGCCTGCTGAAGTCTTTTCCGGACTCAGCAACTTGCAGGATCTGGGCCTGATGGCCAACAAGCTCAATGAGTTGCCTGCTGAAGTCTTCTCAGGTCTCAGCAGCTTGCAGGAGCTCAACCTGGGCGTCAACAACCCACTCAGCGAGTTGCCTGCTGAAGTCTTTTCACAACTCACCAACTTGCAGAAGCTTTACTTGTATCAAAACGAGCTCAGTGAGCTGCCTGCAGAAGTCTTTTCAGGACTCAGCAACTTGCAGGAGCTGGACCTGAGTTGGAACACGCTTAGTCAGCTACCTGCTGAAGTCTTCTCAGGGCTCAGCAGCTTGCAGAAGCTGTACTTGAGCAAAAACGATTTCAGCGAGTTGCCTGCTGAAGTCTTTTCACAACTCACCAACTTGCAGAAGCTTTACTTGTATCAAAACGAGCTCAGTGAGCTGCCTGCTGAAGTCTTTTCAGGACTCAGCAACTTGCAGGAGCTGGACCTGAGTTGGAACACGCTTAGTCAGCTACCTGCTGAAGTCTTCGCGGGGCTCAGCAGTTTGCAGGAGCTGAACCTGCATGGAAACTATCTCGGTCAGTTGCCTGCTGAAGTGTGGGCCCATCTCTTCCCAGGTCTTAGCAACTTGCGGGTGCTGAACCTGATGTCCAACAGGCTCGGCGAGTTGTCTTCTGAAGTCTGGTCAAAAGTGTTTGCAGGGCTCAGCCACTTGCAGGAGCTTTACTTGGGCGGAAACGATCTCAGTGAGTTGCATGCTGGAGTCTTTTCCGGGCTCGGCAACCTGCAGAAGCTTGTCCTGCGTGAGAACAGGCTCAATGAGTTGCCTGTTGAGATCTGGGCCAATCTGTTTGCAGGGCTCGACAACTTGAGGTTGCTCAACCTGGGTGACAACAAACTCGGCGAATTACCCGCTGAAGTCTGGGCCAATATGTTTTCAGGGCTCGGAAGTCTGCAAACGCTTTGGCTGTACGGTAATGGTCTCAGTGAGTTGCCCGCAATTTGTTCGGCTATAGAGTGTGTCAACTGAGATGTCCGGCCATGCGGATGAAGGATTCCTTGTTTGTTTCGGCGAAAATGATGGGGTGCTCTGCCATCTGCCCGCTCAATAGGGTTGTGGGTAGGACTGATTCCTCGGTATAGATCACACAGTCAAGCGACGAGATTTCACATTTCACCCACTTCCAACAATCATTTTTAATCTAGTTTCAATGCATTTCATATGGTTTGTCCTCATGATATTTATTGCATTCTATTCTTGTTTCGTGATTTTTTGGGCGTTTTGAGAGTAGCACCTCATTGGGCGACCAAGGTCCAAGGTGGCAGTGGCACCTGGCGCGCAACTGGAGAGACGTTCGCACACCGAGGCATCGGAATGTCCAGTCGAAGTCATCACAGGTATCAAAGTCTGCAGTCGAAGTCTTCATGAAGCTTTCGGTTCTGGTGTGATCTCTGTAAGTTTTCAGCCTCCATTGTTGGGATGTCTTCCCGGGTATTTGCGGCTTGCCTTTGCTTGGAAACTCGTTTTCAGTCTTTGTAGGGTTCAAGATTGGCCCTCTTGTGGTGAAAGACATCCAACAAGAAAAAGACAGTCTGAAGGGAGCAGAACAGAAGTTGTTTGTTTGAAAAACGTTGAAAGAAGCCGCTGAGACAGGTGTAACCACTGTGTCGACCACGTGAAGTGCTGAGTGCTGCCATTCGGCACGCTGCGCCTTGGACCAGGCACCAGTGGCTCCAAATGGGAACATCACGCCGAGAATTTTTGAGTTTCGACAAGTTGTGGGTGTATGACCATTCCTTTTAAGAACATGACAACATCATACAACATAACACGATATAATATCGTTTGAATCCAGAATCTGGCGGGTGGGGTCGATCCGCTGGGTCAAATTCCATGGCTTAGCTGGGAAAAAGATGCTTGGACTTGACCCTGAAAGATCTCAAATGTTTTGGATTGTTTTGGTGCATTACTTGAGGAAAGCTTTGCAGATAGTGACAATTGCCAGGGTTTCTACCATGGAGGACGATGCAGCAAGGGTTAGGGTTTATCCATGTACACGCTTGCAGCATCTTATCAATGCCAGAACTTGTATGGAAGTTCAGTACCATCAAGTTGAGATGGTTTCCATGGTTTTCGGTGTTTACACCACTCATCCGATGAAGGACAACCATGTGACTATTCCGCAAGCCGCTCCATGCTACCGGCTTTTCGCATGTGCACACACCATTGCACAACTTGTGTGGGGATTCCGATAGACACCAGTTATCCTAAGGGCGCCTTATCTAAAAGTCCATAGTTTGCTGGGACTATGTCGCCGAAATGGGCTTCGCACGGGGAAAAAGATGAGGGCTTCATCCCAGCGCTGCAGGAAAAACTCACTGCGGCAGCGGCTCGAATGCCCAGCACTGCGCGATTGACGAGTTTCGAGAGTCGTGGGGTGAGGACATGGCCAGGGATTTAGAGTTGATACATGTTGATACCAATTGACATACTACTAGTAACACGAATTTTCATCATGAAAACAACGGGATTATGACCTTGATTATCATTGGATATCATTGGCAGCAACATTTCTGGAACATCTGGAAGATTGCATACATTCCCATCATCTTTCAAGCATTATGCGGCCCATGGATTTTGGATAGGTCAACTGCATTGAGAGATGTTGAGGCCCCCGGTGCAGGTGGCAAGTACTTCCAACCCCAACATTTATCCTTTGGTTGTGAAACCTGGTGATAGGAAATCCTGCTTTTACAGTTGACTTTCCTATTGAAACATTGAGTTTTCATGGCCAGGCTAGATTGCCGGAGTCTGTACATTTCAGAAATTCAAAGTTCGGAGTTCGGAGTAATTACATTATTTTTAAACCTGTCGTTCACGTGGTTCTTTAGTCGTGACATGTTGTGAAACTCGTCCGTTGGCTTTTCGCTTGTCTGTCTGATCCCCAGCGCCGCAAAGGTGCATTTTGCCAGCAACTCTGCCAGAGGACGCCACGTCAGCTGCTGTCCTTGGAATTAGAGTTGTTGGAAATTGGAGAAAATGTTCGTTGCCCTGTTCCCTTAGGGTTCTAGGCAAAGCCAACTTGATGCCCCCGATCTTGGTGCAACAGAATCTTAGAGTTTGGCGATTTCGCGTCATTCATTGGTGTGGGTTTGACACCTGCAGGACTTCATTGCAGTGGTCCTGGAAGAGTGTGGAAACCAAGCATTGAACATTTAAATTGGCATGATGGATCAAAACATGTCGTAGTACAGTATAATATCTGAAGATGCATTCCAGCTGTTTAGACATGGCTTCCTTTTTTAAGGGTTCTGTGAAGTGGTTTTGGTTGTTTTGGGCATGTTGGCCATGTTGGCCATGTTTATTGCATGTTGTCTTGCAGGTCGTTTGGTTGTTTTTGCCCCTCTGGCGTTTTCTCAAGACGGACTTGTACCGCATTTGCACTGTGCGGTGCTATTGACTTTGACATGAAAACCAACCCAGTCAAGCAAACACATAAGAACAAAGCAACCCAATTTCATGTTTCTCAAGAGAAAGTTCCAGCAGACCACGTGTTGTAGACTGCAATTACTGTAATTCGTACTGCTGGACAGCGCAAAGGATTCGCTGCCTCATGTCGGTCTCTGTGGATATTCCTGGACATGGTCACTTTGATATCAAACTGACTGCTTCGAGCACCGCTGCTGACATTATTTTACTGCTACGTGAGCGTTTGCCAGACAGCCCATGGCATGGGAACAAGTTGCTGTCAAGTGGGGTCTGCCAGCTGCAGTGCGATGACATTGTGGAGGCAACCCACCACAGCACGGTGGTCTTGACAAACTACTCAGAGATCACCAGCCAGGAGACACACCTGCCTCTTTGTTCAACTTTGTTCCTTTTTTTGGGCAAAAAGGCGATATAACCAATAGGATCAAATAGAATAAAGAGAAAGTGTATTTAGAAGTCAATCTTTTGAATTTCAGAGATTGCAGGCCCATTATTCCACCTTCGCTACTGCATAATGCTTCAATTGAATCGCCCCACACACGGCAGAGGAGACTTTCTGCATCAAAGATACTGCAGAGCGAGGGATCACTCGCGAGCAATTGGCAAAGATCGTTGTTTTCATCTCCAAGATGGCTGACAGATGGTGCGAGACTTTCGGAGAACAGCGTGGGACAAGGCTGCAGTTTGAGACCTTCAACTTGTATCATGCGAATCATTGGATCATCAAACCAGCCACCGAAGCCTGGATTTGTTGATGATGTGACAACATTTTCCAATTTGAGGAATCTCCTGTTTTTCTTTTTTTAATTGGCAACATTATGCAGAATCCCAGGACGGCTATGCGAAAAAGGGCTGCAGCATGGTAGAGCTCATGGCGATTCAAGTGCAGAGACCTCATTGGTTTGTGTCACATGCTTGGATCGAGCCTTGGATAGGCAAACTCTCAAGGTTGTTTGAGATCGTGTTATTGCATTGTCTGTCAGCAACAAGTTACTTTTTCCGCTAATAATTCACATTCCCCTAGAAGCCTTGGTTGAGTTTTGGACTTGTTCATTTCGGACCCTCAATAATTGATGCTGTATCAAAAAGAAATGAACATCGAGCGTAATGATAGATGAAAGTCAATCTATTGCTTTGAAGCACGTCCAATTTTGTGTTGGGCAGATCTGTGAGGAGCCTGTTTGTAAGTTTCTGGCCTGCTTGGAGCAGCATGCTCTGGTGCGAGAACTTTCAAGCAGTACATTCTATTGGGTCTGTGCATATGCCAATAACCAGCACTGCGTGGAAGAGGATATCAAAAGCAACCCACGCAGCACTTCATTCTACAGAGCTATGCAGATGTCTGAGGGAGTTCTTTTGGTGCTGGATTCAGCTGGAACGCCTTTCGAGAAGCAGACATCAGCGATGACCTCAAGAAGGGTGCCCGCACAGTTTTGGAAATCATCGACTCTGGAGCATTTCGCACCACTGATACTGCAGCAGACAGCACGCATCAGATTGAGGCCATTGTGTGGCCTGCCAATTTTACGGTGCGTTTTGCTTGTGTGCATTGCAAGCGTTGTGTCAACAACATCAGACGGCTTACAGGAAGTCAGTGTCCTCGTAAAATGGTTTGGACTAAGTTTCGAAAGGGCCAGAGGGATATTTTGGTGCCTCTTGCGGCTCAGGCTCCAAGTGCCAGACAGCGAGCTGCTTCGCGAGCTTTGGACATTTTGGGATTGCAGCAGGATGGCGCTGTGGATCAGAACCCATGACGGGCTCTGACAGCACTATGCGGTTGGGGACTATGAATGTACGGTCCTTGGGAGGCCGCTTGGGTGGTGTGCTTGACTTTGCTCAGCTCCAGAATTTACATGTTCTGTGTCTTCAAGAAACTAGAGTTAACAATCACAGCTGGAATGCTGTGACTCGTGCCGTCAAGGCACGCGGGTGGCAACTTTTTCCTGGCCCTCAAGGAAGAAATTCGAAAAATGTAGTGGAAGGTGGTACATTGGTTCTAACAAAGTGGCCTGCTGAGGCCTTGGCCCTTCCTGTCGACATGGGGTCTGTGGAAAGATCCATGGCCGTCAAACTCTATAGACCTCAGCAAAGGCCGTTGATTCTCATCAATGTTTACTTACATGCTTCAGATCGCACAGCTGCCAGCCGTGCGCTGGGTGTGCTGTTCGAGTTTGTTGCTGCTTGTGGTGAAGATACAGTGATCATGGGTGACTTCAATTTGGAAATTCATTGTTGGCCAATTTCTAACGTTTTGGCTACTGGACAGTGGCGGTCCTGTGATGAGCTGGTTTGCGGAGATCGTGTTTTAGGTGGTACACATCGAACTGCTGCAGGTGTTTATACAGGTGTGGTCATTGACTATGGCTTGTGCACTCCTCGGTTAATTATTACTGGTAGGGAGCAACATCTTGGCGTGGCTGACCATGACGCGGTGGTTTACAACTTGCATGTGCCTGGTTCATTATCCACACCGTGGACTCTCCCAGTTGGTGCCCCTTTGCATTCTGAAAAGGTTGCTGAAGCTTCTTGGCTAAGTGCTTGGGAAGAAGTATGTGACGATTTTGGAAATGCATTGAGTACAGGCAACGTGGACTCTGCTTGGACCTTACTTAGCAACTGCGCAGAATCTCTTCTTCTCGCACGTGGCAAAACTGGTCGTGCTATGCGCCAGGGCCCGCAGCAAATTGCCAGTCCTCCGTCTTCAAAAGCGCCTTCTTTGCAAACAGTGAAAGAGCGCAAGCTCAGATGCTTCGCACGAAGAGTGGTGGAGTACCAAAAGGCCCCGTTGCCAGAGTTGGAGAAGAAGTTGGTTCGTGATGGCCCTCATTTACATCATTCTTTGGCTTTTTTCTCTTTGGATGACCCCAGGTTGGTTAGTGCAGTGCTAGAATTGGCAAATGCAGAAGCTACAGCAGCGTCCAAGTTACGCTTGGAGGCGTGGAAGGACAGCGTGCAGGAAAATGCCACCAAACTAGGCAGGTGGGTCAAACAGGTGCCGCCCGCCAGTCCTACTGCAAGTTTTGATGGCCCCATTCTACCTGCAGATAGGGCCAAGTGCGCAGCATTGGATTGGGAGAGGTATTGGAATCCAGGGTCGCTTCCGAATTTGAATCTGGGGGACCAGTTGTACTCTCAGATTGGCTCTGCAAGCGATCCATTGCCGGATGACTGTATTCAGGTTAGTGGTTCTGAATTGGTTCGGATTGCGCTCAAAGCGAAGGACAAGGCTCCGGGCATGGATGCCTGGACAGCTCTCCATTTGTGCAATCTTCCCATTGCTTTTTGGGATCAGGTCGGTGCTCTTTGGGATGCTTGCTTGCGACATGGCTGTGTTCCTACGATGTGGAAAGATGTTAGAATTGCTTTGTTACCAAAAGCTACTGGTGGCATGCGCCCTTTAGCCATTGTCACTGTCCTGTGGCGTATTTGCATGAGTGCCACTCTGAAAAAATTACAGCCTTGGATTGCGGAATGGGCTTCGCCCGAACTTTTTGGTGGTCTACCAGGCAAGGGCATCATGGAAGTCCATGAACGTTTCTACGAAGCTGTCAGCGCGGCAAAGCAGTCTCGTGTCGATTTGGTCGGGTGCAAAGCTGATGTTCGCAAGTGTTTTGATTCAGTTTGCCCTCAGACAGCCATTAAAGTGTGGCGATGGTTCGGTGCTCCCTCATCAATTTGTGATTTACTCGCTGATTTTTACAGTGAACAGCGTCGTTGGTTCGCTTGGCAAGGTTCTTATCACCCTCATCCGGTTATTGCTCAACGGGGTTTGTTGCAAGGCTGTCCAGCCAGCCCTGCGCTACTGAACGCTTTGATGACAGTTTGGGTGAGGTTTGTCAAACGGCAGGAACCAAGGATTTCTTTGGCTATTTATTTGGACGATCGCACCATGTGGAAACAAGGTTGTCAAAGTTTTGAAGTGGTCATCAACGCCATGACTGCGGGAGCGCAAGCCGATGCTATTCTCGGCTTCGAACTTCACCCTGACAAATTGGCTAGCTTCGCCACCAAACCGCATCTGGTTGCCAAGGTGCGCAAGAAGAAAGATTTAGTAGGTGTACCTGCGGATACTTTCACACTGCTTGGCATTCAATACAATTTGTCACGCCCCAGTTCTTGTGTTGATGCGGATATTGTCAGTGACAACATTCAGCGACGGTGTCTCAAAATTCGTTTGGCAGCACAGCACTTAGGCACTCGCATTGCATTGGTGCATAAGTTGGTGATATCTTTATTTGCTTGGTCCGGTGCTTTTCATCACTTCAGTGCAAGAACCATTCGAACATGGACATCTATGATCGAAACTGCACTTTGGGGTCGAAGGGCTCCTCCAGGTAGGAGCCGGCTGCTCTTTTGGAATTCTTTGGGTTCTGCAAGACTACATCCGATGTTTGCGCTCCAGTTCACCGCCGCCCGGGCGGAATGGAATCGGCAATGCCGCCGTGCCCAAGGGTTGCCTGCAGCTACCTCGCCTGCTCCTCGCTGGAAAGCAGTACTCAAAGATTGGAAATGGCGACTTGACGATGGCCTGTGGCACACGCCTGCTGGGATTTTGAAACCTGGGTGGATGTCTTTGAAAAGCTTGCAAAAGGCCGCTATCCATTCATGGCTCGTTGGTTTGTGGACTAAAGACACCAAAACGGATGGTCGATGGCCAAACGGCAAGGAGCCGGTTTTCCTTTTTCAGGCAAATGCAGCTTTAGGCATGGATTACTACAGTCGCAGGGTTTTGACTGGTGCTGCAGTGGATGGCAGGGTCACAGAGCGCTTTGGTTCTGCTTTGAGTTGTGAATGTGGATTGCGGTCTCCTGATCGAGAACATCTCACTTTTCACTGCCAAGCGCAGCCATGGGATGGTGAGTTCAGGAGCGCTACTGAACGTCGTTTGCTGGTTCCACTTGTGGATGCTCCTCCTGTGTTGCCTTTTTCCAACATGGTTGCAGATCCTGCTTTGGTTACTTTTATTCAGCAATTCGATCCTCTTCAGCGACCCACCTTGGGTTTGGACGGCAGTTGTATCATAGCTACTTCCTGTGATCGATGGCAAAGAGCTAGCTGGGCGGTTTCGACACTTTCAGGCACCACTGTTCAAGGTGCCGTGACTGGTTTTGAGCAAACACCTGCTGCAGGTGAGCGTGCTGCTCTTCTGCAAGCTTGTTTAGCCTCTTCTGCAGCTAACAGACCGGTGATGCTCTTGATTGACAATCAGGCTTTGGTGCGGCGGCTTCAGCGAGGCATTAGCACTGGCCGTTGGGATGGTGACTTGCCGCTTTTCTGGCAGCGGATCAGCGGCTTATTGATTCAAGGCACTGTTTGCACTTGGATCCCTTCTCACAACAAGGTGCCTGACTGGACACCACCAGATGGTTGGATTGATGTTCATCTCTGCCACGTTCTCAATGCGACAGCCGATGCTCAGGCAGGTGAGGTGTTGCGTGACTCACGCTCCATGATCGCTGCGGCTGTGCAGCGACATCAGCGAGCCGTGGCTTCGGCTGCAGCAGTTTGGCGTCTGCAGAGGCTACGGACTTTACCTTTTTGGCAAGTCGTACTTGATCAACAAACATTCCATGCGGAATGCTAGCTGGCGCACTGTGTTTACTTCTTTTTTTTTTCAGGCAGGTTTCGCTTCCTTTGAGTTTTGCTTGGAGAAGTATGGGAACTTGATTCTCGCAGATGGCATACTATGGCGTCTTAACTACTTCACTTCGGTGAGGAGCAGGTTGACGTCCGCTTACAACAACAACAACAACGCCTTTCGAAAGGATTTGGTGCTGCTTCGAGGAGGCCATTGCCCCAGCCTTAGAAATTCCTAGAAATGCGAGAAAACATCATAAAACGAGAAAAATGTGACATGAAAGTGAGTTTTTTTCGTGAGTTCTGCCTGAAGGGACACGTTTTGAGTCCAGCTAGCAGCTAGCTTGTTTCAATGCGAAACACAACCAAACAGCATGATCGCTTGGTTGATTTGCATACATGTGAATGGGGGATAACGAGCAGGAGCAACACCTGGTCATGTTCGTAAAGGCAGGCAATGCTTCAGTAGATAGTGGATCGAAGGAGACACTGGTGTAGACAATTCCGGTATTTTCACCCTAAAAGGGACCAAGGCGATCGAACATCGAGAGGGCAACTGGTCCAGACGACGTTTACTGCTTGATGTGGGAGCCACTGACGCACATGACAAAGCTACTCGACAAAGAAGTGGTGGCCTTGTGTGGACATTTCCTTTGCGTGGTCTGCTCGAAAGGTTGAGACCATCGCCTTCTTGACCGTAACCCCCATTTCTACATCCTTTTGAACTGTTTCACATCACCTTACTGTAAGCATCCCTTTCCATATATCGTTACAAAGAGGTGATAAGTCTGATAAGTATTGATAAGTGATAAGTGATGTTTAAAGTTTTGACCCTTCCAAACTTGTTGATCCCTGAGGCTCACGTGCTTACTGATGGACTTGCCGGAGCGGAAAGTCGAATGATTGGCATCATCGGGTTGCACCACAAAGCAGCTCGTGAGCGTCACTTTCCTCTTGGCCTTTTGGAAAAGGGTTTGAAGGTCAAAATCGAAGAAACTTGCTGCGGGATTGCAAGCAACTGTTTTGATGTTGTTTGGAGAAGCGAATTTATGCATTTGGACGATCGATTGAATACCCATGGTTCATTGTTTTCATTTCACAGTATGATATTTTATTCCAAGTTTCCTCTTTTTCGACAAAGTGAGCTACAGATTAGAAATGTGAATGTGCGACCGCTCAAGGAAGCTGATGCCACGCAGAACATCGACAAAGTTCGTATACTGAACAGCATAGCTCTTTCTCGTCTTGGAACTTGTGACTTTGAGCTTTTGCAGTCGTACCCCGCTGGGGATCCGAATTTCCAGCGAGTAGATGAAGCTCTTGCTTCGCACTTCGCTTTATGCAGCTGGTACGGATATGTCCTTCAAGGAAGATGCACTGAACTCCTGGCCACAGCTGTAAAGGCAGACGTTGGTAGAAAGATAGTGCAGCTTTCACTGACTGGGTGCCGGAATTTCTCTGACCATGAGCTCAATGTGCTGATCCAAAGCCTTCCTGCAGAGTTGCGTGTTTTGCGATTAGATCTGGGATTCTCGGGTCTTGAGACTCTGGACATGTTCACATCGACGGTGCAGTGTTTGAAGTCTTTGGTCCAGTTGAAGTTGCGCTTCACAGGTTCCTCGCACTTCAGGACTGCGGCAGGGCTTGGAGTTGCCCTGAGAGAGATGGAGAACATCATGTACCTGGAGCTATGGTGCGCTGAGTTGTGAATTTCCAGTCATTTTTCTTCATCTTGAACCAGCAAAAAATATGATTTTCAGCATATTGTTTGCCGCGCTTTCTTTTTGTTTCTATGGAAATGATATTTTTTTTTTTGATTTTTCTCAGCTGCCACGGTCCAGTGGCTGCAGGTTCATGAACTTGCCATGTTTGGAAGAATTCGGATGCTTCAGTTCTGCTTTGCAGTCTTCGCGAAACCTGGAGAGTATAGTTATTGATCTCAGTGGATGTGGCCAGATGTCAATCGAAGCGAGGATGGAACTCCACCAATCCATCAAGTCGCTGAAATGGTTGCGAGGCGGCTTGGACACTTGGGTGAACATTGAAGGTTTGCCAAAGCGAAGCTGCTTCCCTGAATTTGCTTGTGTTGATTTTGGCAGTGTTATCAAAGCGCGTTGCACCCGGAGCTTCCGTTTCATCTGGCAACGGATGCGACAACTCAGTGCCCGCCAGCTGCCACACGTCAGCTCAGTGTACTTTGAGCCAACCAGGTTTGGCAGGTCCAGCGCCACAAGCGGTGACGAATCAGCTGGAGAAGATGCAGAGACAGAGACTCACAGCGCTCAACAGGAGATGTTTGATGAAGGCAAACCGTTCCCATGCAGCCATCCTTCATGTCATTCTTTTCACTCTTCTGAGAGCGGTTATTGCGAAAGGCACCGCTGGTCGGGCCTTTTCAAGAGGATTTGTGTTGCGGGAAATGCTTGGCGCCAGAATCTGGAGCTTAGTGTGCTGATTCTTGCACAAGCAGTGGCAGAGGTAGAGAGCCGATTTTTGTTGGTTCTTCTGGTTCTCAGCCTGTTGCCCGTTGCAAGTTATAGCTTTTCTCAGTCAACAGGAGTGTCTGGCACGTTGATTTTTCTGATTGTTATCTCAATAGCAATTGTCAGCATTTTTTACACCACATCTCGGCTCAACAGAATGCAAACACTGTCAAGGAGGCTTGAAGTTGAATCGGAAGCTTTGTATGCAAAGAATTTGCAGAATGACATGTCCAGGCTTTTTGGTGATTGGGGTAGAGACGATATTGCCCAGCCTCAAGTCACAAGCTTGACGGAACACTTCGTCGAAGCCAGAAAGCATCTTGATGACTTCGACAAGAATCTGTGCCTTCCACTGCGAGAGTTCTTGGAGGAGCAGCCTGGTTCCATATCTCGGCAAGATTTGCGGCCCGTACTGATGACAGTGCCAGTGGCACAAGAGGCTGTCGTGCGAGAAGGTGAACCCAGTCGAATCGTAGATCTCTTGTATTGCGATGCAATCTTCGATGATTGGGAAATAATGCTCAGTGCGTGGTGCTTTCTCAAAACCAGAGCAGAGCATGATGAGTTGAGGGAAATTGAGATGGTGCGTACCCGTGATTTTTTTGCTTCAGCCCAAGCTGGTGTCAGATGTGCCGAGATGGTGGTCAAGATCAACCACTATTTAGCCACGATCCGTTTCCGTGAAGCCTCTTTGACAAAGCTGGAGAATCAAGTGGATGATGTGCACCACTTGGCAGAACAGGTGGGACTCCTGGCAGGCAGTTTGCAGGTAGATCCTTTGCTTATGTCTGGGCGACCAGCACAGCAATCACGATTGGTGGTCGTTGTTGTTGCTTTGCTTCGGATCAGCTCATTACTTGCAGCAGTGTACTTTGGGGGGCAATACTTTGTGCGGTATAGTCCACCTTTCATCCGTTCCAAGCTTCCACAATTCATCCGAGATGCTTTTGCTCTCAAGCAGACAGTTGAACCCAGTGATGGGACATTGGCGGAGGCTGCCGCTGCTGATTCCGGAGGATGGTTGGAGGAGAGCCTTTCGCAGCTGTTGCCGTCAATTGTTTTCTCTTTGCCATACCTGGCCTTGATCATCGTCCTCCTGAGCGACTTGCGCCGGTGTCGGTCAGCCAATATCAATTTGAGACCGCTGAAACCGACCCAGCTGCTCTACGAGGAGTATTTTGGCATTGAAGGCACGCTCTACGGCCTCAAAGTTGCAATGCTGCAGTTATTCACGGTGATGCTGCAGGCTTTCGGAAAGCTCCACATCATGGGTGGCCTTGTGTCATTTGCATTCCATTCAGCTCCGAAGCATTCAGATGCGTTTGAAGGATGTTTTTGGGCTTTTGTGGGTTTCCTATGTCTGAACAGCATCTATCCAACCATTCTGTTGGCCGTCCCCTCTGTGAAGTGGGTGCGCCGGGGTGCTGCGATGATGGATGCAGTTCTTGATATTGCTTACACCAGCACATACCTCATCATCACCTTGCTGGCCATCTACGAACTGCAGCTGGACCAAGCCATTCGAGGAAATTTCGGGGATGAGGCTTCGGTCAACTTCCAAGCAGAATTGGACCCGGCATTTGCGTTCCCAGCCGACTTTTTTGGTTTCTCTGCTGTTTATTATTCCCTTGCACATGTTTGCACTGTTTGCCGTGCCTTAGAGCGAAGCGATCGATCGACGTACTGGAAGAAGTTGCAAAGCTTACCGAACTCTGCTTCCCAGTCACTGCTGAGCCCATCGAGATTTTCTTGCTCAAAGAGATATCGGATTTGTTGCAAAGCCTTGCATTTTTGCTGCATTGGTTTCGTTATGTTTCGTTTTTTGTTGTCTCCGCAATTTTCAATCCATCGTGGTTTCGCAACCTGTTGGACCTGTTGACACAATTTGTCATGTGCGTATCTCGAAGCCCCTCAACATATTTGTACAGAGGAGGCGTCTTGTTGTTCTCAGCTTTACTGTACTTGCTGCACCCTTTTGTGCGTCCTCAAGCATACTAATACAGTCTGATACACCACTTCTTAAGGTGTTGTTCCCCAGCATCAACAGCCAAGGGGGCTTCCACAGGCTTTTGAAAGGTTTTTCAGCACGTTTCAGGGTTCCCACTTAGTTTCACAGGTCCAGGATTCCGAGGTGCATTCCAAGTATTTCAGGCTTTCCAGGGTTGCAGGATTCCACAGTTGCAAGGTGCTGTTGGTTGCAAGGTGCCGTCGGATGGCATAGTTGCAGGAGTCCCAGCAAAGGCACTCGCGAAGTAAAAAAAATGGATACCTATGATACCTGTGTCTTCAATATCAATCCCCCTGAGATTGGGTTTCTGTTTCATCATGGCATGAGTTTGTGTGCCGGAATGCCCCCCCTTTCATACCATCGGGCTTTGATGGATAAACTCGAGTTCTCTGTCTCTCCTTGCAACCACTGCTTAGGTATTCGCCCTGTTTGCTTGTCACAATCATTGCTCTATTGCTTTCAACGCACTTCTACCCGATTGACACGACTGATTTAGGATGCTTTCCGTGCCGCTGTCTGCAAAAAGAAGATGGTGCAAAACACCTTGCAAGTTGCAGCCTTGTAGGCATTCTTCGCCTCAAAGATGTGAGCTTGAGTGAGCAGGACATCACAAGTGTTGCAGAGGACGCCTTCACCTCTTGCCCGGGGTTGAAACGGTTGTCGCTCTCTGCGAATAAGTTGCCTGTTCTGCCTGAGAAGGTCTTCGCCTCTTTGGACCG